TCCGAACTTATATTGCCTGGGGAACCCCGAGTTCATCCGAATCATCCCTATTATCTTCACATGAATAGTGGTGCAAGAGGAAAAAAGTCAGTTCAAAAAAAAAAAAAAGATTGGTGGCGGTCGATACAAACCTGCTCAAAGGCACTTGCACCGCACAGTGCAACCTATTTGCGAAGTTCTGTGTAGGGTGTCTGGATTAACAATCTCACTCCAAGTGTAAGTAGGGCAGTAAACCGGCGTCGGGGGCTATATCGGTTCGGGGTTATATTGGGAAGAGACATATGATACACTTTATGCGTATGAACTAGAATTAACATTAAATTTTGACATCATTCGAGGCACTCGAGTTCCGGACTGTCCTGAGGCATACTTCCCCTGTGCATCGGTGCTCCCGAAATGACCCTAAACTGACATAGCCCTAACGCCAGTTTATGTTTTTATCCTCGGCACTTAATTGCGAGGTAGAAAACCTTCAACCCACCACTTGAGAACCAGCAATTAAACACACTACCTATCAAACACTCTACCCAAAGTACAGATGACCAAGGTGGGTCTTCTCAATATCATAGTATTTTGGTATCTGTTGAACACTGACTTACTAAACTCACAAGAAGTTAACAGTAGCTGACTATGTTCAGACTTGCTACTAAGCTAGTATTCAAGCCTGTGGGTATTTACTGCTATCACTCAGACAGGATATGGAATTTGTTTATAAGGGGAGAAAGAGATTACTGCCATAAACTTGAAGACTAGTAGCTATCAGAAATTTGTTCTAATAGACATGGAACATGGTTGGGAGTCAGATGTTTATCCATTTTATAGAGGCAAACAAGTTCTTAGAGGAGATAAAGAGGTAGTATCTATTAGCTATGAAAGATATGGTGGAAAATAATGGTAGAGGTATGGTATATGGTTTTGTTACTACTGGGGAATAGTAGCAAATGCTCCAATATGATAGTACATGTTTTACTCAAATGGGTAAATTTCAAGTATTGTTTCCGTATATATAATAAGACAAAGCAGGATGTATAAAGGAAGCCTCAATTATTGTGGACTGTATTCATATGGCATTAAGATCCGGAGGATTTACACTCAAATAATTGATAGCAAGTATCTAATGCAGTAAGTATCTAATGGAGTTTTTCTTATAGGGATTTGTTTGCAGTAGCTGGTTATTTTTTAAAAGATATTGCTGCTTTTAACAGCAGATCTTTTGAGCAAAGTGGAGGGACTGTAGTCCTGAGATGTAACTAAATTAGTTACCAATTGATTTCTATTTTACTGTTGAATGTGGGAGAACTCTGGGATCTAGGTGAGAGAGGAATTATATCATACCAGTCAGCAAACAGTAGTGATGCAACAGCCACGCATAGTCAACGAGTAGGTTGACCCATATACTGTCAGTCGCACGGGGACACCATACAAACTCGTAGATCTACTATCTCTGTCACCCCCTTGCAATCTCGATATTCACAGACAAATACTCCTGTGATGGGGTAGCTACCTCTTCTAGAAGTAATATAAGGTCAGTCCTCGGGCTATATTGGATCCCATTAACTGGATGCTAGCATTCTCGTAATTCCCTGAATGCACCATCTATGTCCTTGGTTGTTCCAACATCGCGAGATTCTGACATTGTGAGTACCAAGGGGTTGACAAAAAGCCATGTCCACCACCATCACAAGGGGTCAGATTTGTTAGTAGACTAAACTGGCCCAGGAAATCCGGGTGATAGCGGGCGCGAGATCACTGGTTACTGCGCAAAGTCGGCTCGTTTTGCTTCATTCCAGTCAACGTGCCGAGTTACTCAAAGGCCATGAAATCCCCTGAAATCTACTATCTCTGCTCAAGGGTCACTCTCCTTATTCAGAGACAAGCAGCTCAAGAAGGAATGGTGTTTACCCGACGCAGCAGGCCTGATACTAGTATTTGAAACTTAGTATAAGTAACGGGCTGAGCACACTCAAGCCATACCCTGTCGGGTAAACATTCTTCTTCTAGAGCTGCTTTGTCTGGAGTGGAGATGGAGATGGTGGATTTCACGAGGTTTCGCCGTACATGAGCAGTCGGGGATCTCGCGAGCGTTCGCGTGGATTAGAACTCCTCCCTGTGGTCAATCAGGGTACCCTCCCATACTACTACGGCGGCTGTTAGCCAGACACTTATCGACCAATATCATGTAGATGTTGCAGCCGTGGGGGCCGGGGTTTTTTAAAAGAGGCAATGTAGTAGTGGTCTTGGTTAGCAATCCCGCTACAAGTAGTATCCACAACACCAGGAATAAGTGGGAAACTGTGGGGGCAGAGATAAGATACTTTTAGGCTGATTGGTTGATAGCATTGGTTGGGGTATATATCTTTCTCTCCCTTCCCTTTCGATGGAAAGGATCACAAAAGATCAATCTGGAATAATGTTTAGTTAGACAAAGGTGCACAACCTGTGTATCTGGTCAAATCAGTGATTCGCTTCATTTCTAGACCCAGAGGAGATAACAATATGCCTCCCTCTTGTTAGGCATTTCCGGTACCAAGGAAAGTCGCAAACTTCATTATCAGGTCAAAAATTTTCACTGTTAGGTGGGCTTTTTCCCCCGGATTTGCTGGCCAGCAGCTGAGAGGGTGGAATTCCAACTTAATTGGGGACCTTCAACGCGGGGTTAAGATCACGCCATGGCGGTTGTCGCGGACATATATCATTGCGCTCATTACGATAGTAGCGGTACGTATCCCATGCAATCATAGATCATAACTCGCGGGTTATTCCTAAGTCTAGTGACAAGTGATATCCGATGAGCCTCTTTTTTTTCCCAGATGATATTGTGACATAAAATAGGAAATTGAGTTCAGAATCTCGCAAAGCCTATTGTGATCCTCATCCTGAGAGTTGGTACTAAGATTTATCTTTCCAATCTCTGTTACGTTGTCCGTGAAATCAGATATGCCCCTCTACTAGTACAGAAAGGTCACTTCGTAATTCTCTTTTGGGCGGGCACCTTCGTGACCAGCTCAACCCTGCTCCGATCCGCCTTC